ATGCAAATAATGTAGGATAAGACCTATAGAATTCAAAATAAAGCTACGAGTAATTTGTTTGATAATTTAATGAATCATTGAATAAACATATTTATTTTTTGTAAAATTTATGGGAGCTTAAGAATTACTTTTACTAAAAATACTATTATGATTGATTGGGGGAATATTTAACCAAAAAAAATTTTTAAATTTCTTTTGAAAGTAATATAAATTAGAGTAGTCTTTTAACAAAATTTTAAATCAATTTTAAATTTTTAAAAATTTTAAATTTTGAGTTTTAAATTTTAGATTTTTATTCTTTTAATCAAGTTTTAGATTTAGATTTTTAAATCTTTATTTGAATTTAGAATTTATTGCTATATTGCTATATTATCGCACTCTCAAATTAGAACTTAAATTCGAACTAAATTTGGAAAGAGCACATTAATTGATCAATAGAGGGTATATTAATTAATTAATATTTCAAGGGACTATGTTCAAAAACGGAAATAAACATTCGTATTATCTTCAAAGTGATATGCTACATTTTAAGATTTCTTCAAATTGCAATTTAAATTTTCCTTTTTTTCTTTTTCGTTTTTAATTTTACTGGTAAGTTTGGTGTTATTATTTTCATTATCTTAATTTAGACATCATTCTATGCTCATCATTTTTAACTAATTGTTGAAATTTTCCTCATATATTTAATTGAAATTTATAAATGTAAGCATACTTAATAATTTATAAATTTTGAATAATATTGATCTTTGAAGAGAAAAATAGTAAACGAAAGCTAAAATTTGTTTCTTATTGAGTTTTTATGCATCGTATAATATTTGAAGATTAAAATAGCATGCACTGAAATGTAAATTTTGCTTATATTTAATTAGTCTGTTTACAGTTCTCATTACAATACCCATTTCTAAAAAGCTTTTAATTCAAGCAGAAGAACATTTCATTGAATCACATGTTTGGAATAATGTTGAAAATACTTGAGATGATCTTAAAAAAGAATGATGACAATGCATGCGACAAGATTCATCTTATCATTAAGTATTATGTAGTCAAAAATAATAAGTAACAAAATAGTTAAGAAAATTTTACCAAACCTCAAAGTTATTTTTAAAATGAAAATCATTGATCACTGTTGTTGTCATTAACATATGCTTTCAATTCAGTGATTAATTAGAAGTCCAGAGACGATGAAATTATCAATTTTTTTAAAGATTAAGTAATTATATGTAGAGAAAAATTAAAAATGATGGTAATTGCATGAATCAAATTTGAATATAATCGAGTGATCATACTGATTTTTTATACTTATTATCAAACTATAGTATTAAGGGTCAATTAAGGTCAAACTTGAAAATTTATCTTTTTCTTCGGTAAATGTACTAATTCATAATTAGTTAATTTTCAATCTCTCATAAAGAAGCAAATATAAGAAAGGAATAAAATGAGCTAAAAGTATGATCACTAAAAGTACGATTACTTTATAGTAAATTATTTTATCTTGCTGATATTTCAGCTGAATGAAAATTTTCTAAATCATTTTGTTAATTAAGGCGATTTATCATCAGTAAAATGCATTGAAATGAAGTTAAAAGAAAGCACGCTAAATTACAAATTTAAAAAAGTACGCTAAATTACAAATTAAAAAATGCATGCTAAATTACAAATTAAAAAAAGCACACTAAATTACAAATTAAAAAAGGTATGCTAAATTGCTACGAAAGCATGATAAGGAAAAGAAAACATGCTAAAAAAAGAAAAAAGCATGCTAAATTATCAAATGACTTGTGTAAATTATTAATTATAACAAAAAATAGAATAAATCAAATTCATAAAGCAACTATAGAATGAATAAAGAAGTAATACATTTTTCGACGTTTAAACATTTGTAATTACGATCTTATCAATTAATTAATCCATGGTTTAAGTATAAAATCATCCTTTATTTTGTTTAAATTTAAATTTGAAATATTCGAAAATGATCAATCCGTTACAAAATGCATTCATCACATTTTTCTTTTTATCTTTTTTTTTTTCTTTTTCATTTCTTTCTCTTATGGAGAGAAATACTCTCTGTAATAAACAGGACAATCATTAATTATGCATTCTCGGCTAATCACCGAAACAATTTTATGCACTTTTGTTAATGATAACTTTATTGATTATCAATTTTACTTATTCCATCTTTTCATATGAAAGTTTTTTTTTTTTTTTTATCATTCCATCAATTTATCAGTTAATTTGTTTACTTGTTTACTTATTTATTCATTTGTTTTTTATAAATTTCATTGCATTTCTTCATGCATTTACTCATTTGCATTTTATTTATTGCTAATTACATAAAAAGTTTTTACTTCTACCATCAATGAGCAAATTACTGAATAGTGTTAGGAAATGCATTTTTATATTTATTTGAAATAATTATTTGTTTATTTGTTACTTACTCATTTGTTTACTTGTTTATTTACCCAACATAATCACATTGCACATTTATTTGTTTATTTATTCGCTTGTTTATTAGAAATTTTTTTTAAGATTGTATTTATTCATGTATTTAATTATATTGTCCTGTATTATTTTGTGTTATTTCATTCCATTATATTTGATTTTGGTCCTGAAAATTGGAATAATAGTTGAAATAGTTGAAATGATAATTAAATAACTGATTAAAGTGATAATCTGAATAGCTGAAATGCCAGTTAAATTGAGCTAATATGATTGATTTTATTTTGGTCTTGAAGACTGCAATGCTAATTGCACTAACTAAAGTGATAATTTGAAAAGAGCTAAAACAAAGTTAGAATGATAAATAAAATACAAACAATATCGAAATTTGATAGCAATTATATGAAATTTAAATTGAAATATTTATTAGTTGGAGAAATTTTAAAATGTAACATATCGTTGGAAATAATACGTTATGTTTTTTGAATCCATTCTTTTGGAATATTAATGGGCTTTTTTTAAAAAAAAAGAAAAAATTAAAATTCCATTAATGATAAAATATATTAAAGCAATAACATCTGAAAATATTTCTTCGTTATTTTTTATTGTTATTATCATTATTATTGTTGTTGTTGTTGTTGTTGTTGTTGTTGTTGTTGTTGTTGTTGTTGTTGTTGTTGTTGTTGTTGTTGTCGTTGTTGTTGTTGTCGTTGTTGTGTTGCTGCTGCTGTTGTTGTTGTTGTTGTTGTTGTCGTTGTCGATGGTGTTGTTGTTGTTGTTGCTGTCGTTGTTGTTGAACTGAAAGAGATTGTCGTCGTCCTGGCGATGATTGTGTTGATAATCGTGATTCAGACTTTGTACCAATACCATTATTTCCGGTACCATTACCGGTATCAGTCATTGGTGTACTTGTTCGTGTTATTGGTTGACTTCTGCAATTGTATCAGCTTGTTTTTCATAAATAAGGAATTATTATTGTTTAAATTTGGTAATTTCGGTGTTTTAAAATCATAATTTCTCG